GCTTTTATTTGTATTTCTGAATCAACTCTCAATTTTTGTGGAATATGAGCATTGATTAAACTGAGGAACGTTCTATTGTCCCTCTTCTCAAGGCCCATTAGGAGCGAGGGAAGGGGAGGCACACCTCATTAACTCTCTTTCTTAAATTCTATAAAAACTGCCACGTGTATTTCCCCCGAAAATTTATGCCGTATACATGTGTCTTTACATAAGGACCGTATCCTCACGTGTTGTGGGTTTTGCATGTGGCAGGTGTTTGTGATAACTCAAACAACAGTGATAAGAACAGTGTGAATAATTCACATGCGACTCAACCTCCTGTTGAGTACTCAACTTTCATAAAAGGATGAATGGAAAAATATTGAATAACATCTTTGATGTTATGAGAAGAAATAAAAAAAACTTCAAAAATGCGATGTAGGTGTGTTAATTATTTATTGGCCAATTAATTTTTTCATTTTTGTATATCATGGGTAACAAACAAAACATAGAATTCAAATTTATGAAGTAATGAGAATAAAGTTATCAGACTTGAAAGCCAAGTGCTTTCAAACCAACATAAGATCTGTTGAATTCTGGAACTATAAAGCTTGTTGGATTCAGGCAGTTTCTTGAGAAAAACAAATCAGTCATTGTTATGTGTGGTCGTTCAGAAATGATGGCTATAGGATCCAATTGCAGTAAGAAAGTGTCAGGATTCTGCCCTGGCATGTTTGTCTGTGTTGTTTTTGTTTCATGTCTCTATGTTTGTGTTGTGCTTGAACATATGCTCTGTCTTTGTTTGTGTTGGCCATGTGTCACCTATTCCTCATGTTCTCTGCTCCCTTGTTGAGTCCTCGTTTTCCTGTGTGTTCACCTGTTCCTTGTCTGAATGTTCTCACTTGTTCCTCTTGTTCTCAGCTCCCTTTATATGTGTTCTCTTGCCCTCATGTTTTGCCAGTTCGTTGTCATTGAGTGTGTTGTGCTACCTGTTACTTATTGCTTATGGTTACAGTTGTGGATAGTGCCTGGATACCTTGTCTTGTGTTTGTTGTGTTCCCTGTTTGTTCCAGCCCTGCAAGCTGGCTGCTTCCTCTCTACCAAGCAGGGAGACCGGTACAGTGACTGATCGTGCCCTGCGAGTCCATCTGCGTGTGCTGTATTATCCTGTCTGGCTCTTGCTGCATCCATTGGCCTTGTGCTACACATCTACCTCAGTACACCAGTGTGTTCAACTTGGGCTGGTCTCAACTGCCACCCTCTCAGCTTGCCTGTCATTGTGATTTGTTCCCTGCCTACTTTTTGTACTGTTATCACCTCCTCACCCACCATCTCTCATCTTGTCAACTGTCTTTCAATAAAACCCGTTACACTCATTCTGCACTTGAGTCCTCCCTCATAGATACGTAACAGAAATCTTTATTGACAAACATAACCAAAGTAAATACAAACTGAGCGAAAGCAGCAAAGGGTAACTCCAAACAACGAGCAAAGAAAATCCGAAACAAAAGCTGAAAAGGGAAACAGAACTGAAAGTATCTCACACAAAACATCCACAATCGACAACACCAGACAAAGAACACAGTTCTTATATAGGTAAACATTAACAAGATAAGACACAGCTGAACGTATATTACAACATAAGCACAGGCAATGGACACTGGAAAATGTTCACAATGAAAAAAGCACAGTCGAGGGGAAAATCAAAACCAGTCGCTGGAGATCAAAGGCAAGTGGTGGATGTAACATCAATTAAGGAGCAGATTTCAGACGCTCCTTAAACAATAACATAAATCCAGGAGGGAGGTGAAGCGGAGGCGGATCCGGGGGTGGGACGGACGGCCAGGTCTGTGGAATGAAAGCAGGACTGGAGACTGAGGGGCGGAGCAGAAGACCACCACAGCAGAGTAGAAGGGACTGAAGATCCCCACGGCGGAGCAGACGAATCCCAAAGCAGAGTCGAAGGGACTGAAGATCCCCACTGCGGAGCAGAAGACCACCACAGCAGAGTAGAAGGGACTGAAGATCCCCACGGCGGAGCAGAAGACCACCACAGCAGAGTAGAAGGGACTGAAGATCCGCACGGCGGGGGACTGAAGATCCCCACGGCGGAGCAGAAGACCACCACAGCAGAGTAGAAGGGACTGAAGATCCCCACGGCGGAGCAGAAGACCACCACAGCAGAGTAGAAGGGACTGAAGATCCCCACGGCGGGGGACTGAAGATCCCCACGGCGGAGCAGAAGACCACCACAGCAGAGTAGAAGGGACTGAAGATCCCCACGGCGGAGCAGAAGACCACCACAGCAGAGTAGAAGGGACTGAAGATCCCCACGGCGGGGGACTGAAGATCCCCACGGCGGAGCAGAAGGGACTGAAGATCCCCACGGCGGAGCAGAAAACCACCACAGCAGAGTAGAAGGGACTGAAGATCCCCACTGCGGAGCAGAAAACCACCACAGCAGAGTAGAAGGGACTGAAGATCCCCACTGCGGAGCAGAAAACCACCACAGCAGAGTAGAAGGGACTGAAGATCCCCACGGCGGAGCAGAAAACCACCACAGCAGAGTAGAAGGGACTGAAGATCCCCACTGCGGAGCAGAAGACCACCACAGCAGAGTAGAAGGGACTGAAGATCCCCATGACGGAGCAGAAGACCACCACAGCAGAGTAGAAGGGACTGAAGATCCCCATGACGGAGCAGAAGACCACCACAGCAGAGTAGAAGGGACTGAAGATCCCCACGGCGGAGCAGAAGACCACCACAGCAGAGTAGAAGGGACTGAAGATCCCCACGGCGGGGGACTGAAGATCCCCACGGCGGAGCAGAAGACCACCACAGCAGAGTAGAAGGGACTGAAGATCCTCACGGCGGAGCAGAAGACCACCACAGCAGAGTAGAAGGGACTGAAGATCCCCATGGCGGGGGACTGAAGATCCCCACGGCGGAGCAGAAGACCACCACAGCAGAGTAGAAGGGACTGAAGATCCCCACGGCGGAGCAGAAGACCACCACAGCAGAGTAGAAGGGACTGAAGATCCCCACGGCGGGGGACTGAAGATCCCCACGGCGGAGCATAAGACCACCACAGCAGAGTAGAAGGGACTGAAGATCCCCACTGCGGAGCAGAAAACCACCACAGCAGAGTAGAAGGGACTGAAGATCCCCACTGCGGAGCAGAAAACCACCACAGCAGAGTAGAAGGGACTGAAGATCCCCACGGCGGAGCAGAAAACCACCACAGCAGAGTAGAAGGGACTGAAGATCCCCACGGCGGAGCAGAAAACCACCACAGCAGAGTAGAAGGGACTGAAGATCCCCACTGCGGAGCAGAAAACCACCACAGCAGAGTAGAAGGGACTGAAGATCCCCACTGCGGAGCAGAAAACCACCACAGCAGAGTAGAAGGGACTGAAGATCCCCACTGCGGAGCAGAAAACCACCACAGCAGAGTAGAAGGGACTGAAGATCCCCACGGCGGAGCAGAAAACCACCACAGCAGAGTAGAAGGGACTGAAGATCCCCACTGCGGAGCAGAAGACCACCACAGCAGAGTAGAAGGGACTGAAGATCCCCATGACGGAGCAGAAGACCACCACAGCAGAGTAGAAGGGACTGAAGATCCCCATGACGGAACAGAAGACCACCAAGGCATAGTTGAGGACCACCGCGGTGGAGCAAGCGGGACTGTAACAAAGGCCACAGAAAGGGTTGGCTTCTGGGACTGTGTCAAAACAGGCAGAAAGTTCAGTAAATGCCTCTGTGGCCATAGCAGGACAGGCTGGGAGTTCAAGGGCGACTCCCATGGTCCTTACGGGACAGGCAGAGAGTTCACTGACGACCTCAGTGGTCATGATAGGGTAGACAGGAAGTTCATGTCCTCTGCATTAATGTCAGGGCAAACAGAGGGTTCAAGGACAACCTCTGTGGTCGTATCAGGGCAGACAGATAGTTCATTGATGACTTCCGATGACGACGCCTCGGACGAGCTGAAGAAGTGTGTACGACCCACACGCACAAGATGGCCACCACCATCACTGGCAAACGCACTCAACGGTAGAAGAGTCTCAGAGACCCCCGGACTTGGGACTATCTGGCTGGGGATGCTAGCCGCTCGTACTGCTGTTAGCGGTGGGTCTGCCACACGGGAAATCAACCCCAAACGCCCATGGATAGTCTTCCTCAGTTCCAGAATTTCGATCATGATGGTTACAGGTTCTGGCATGGTGGCCGTGACAACAGGAGAATCTGGCGTGGCGCTCATGACGGCTGGAGACACTGGCATGGTAGCCGTGACGATTGGGGACTCTGGCGTGACGGGTAGATCATGAATGGTACGTTCATCCTACACGACACCCACAGTTAAAGCAGACCCACTCTGCAATGCTTGGTTAACATAAAACCAAAATAACAAGAAACAGCAGAACATAATCACAACAATCATGAGCACAGGCAATGGACACTGGGAAATGAAGTTCACAATAATAAAGTACATCCAAAAAGAGTGCCCACTGGTGTTGATCAAAGGCACTCCAACTGGTGGATGTAACAACAATTATTCAGAGTTGGTGCTGGAGAATTCAATTCTAAATGATAAATTGCTACCCTTTTTATCAGTATTTTGATTGTCTTTAGCTTAAAATGCATTTCTTCCGGCTAAAATGTTTTTGTAGATTATGTAGATTATCACATTCACACAAATTAAAGCTTTTATGTGTTCTGTCACAAAATTATTGATTTTATTATTTCTTATATAAAATGTACAATCATGTAAAATAAGCAAAATAATTGGTCATTAAAATACTGAATATGGATTCTCTGGAAACCTTTTTATTTTTATTTTAAAGCTTTAGTTTCAAAGATGTGGAAAGCTATACCAGTGACTCGTTGATCACCTTCTTCTGTGATGTTCAACTCAAGGTGTGTTTACTTAACCTTCAACATCTGTTTGAGCAGATGCCCAGGTTCCCCAAACCTGTTCTAATGAGGTTTTTTAAGTTGAAGGGGGTGGAGTTAGTGATATAACCAAAAGATGTAACGGTCTATATATACTAAAATTTGTCACTGTTCTTTACCTTCCACTCTTGAGTCCAAACAGGTAAGGTGATTGCTTTGAGTCTGCAACTATCCAACCTTTAATTCACATTTTCTTGTTATACTTATTAAGTATGTATTTTTTTTATTTTATTTTTCAGGTTCAAACTGAAAGAATGCAGGCTCTTCAGGTTCTGTCTCTGACTTTGCTGTCCGTGCTGGCGGTCAGCGCTCAGTCCATCAGCTCTGGAAAATGTCCAGAACCTCCTGTTCAGCAAAACTTTGATCCTACTAGGGTAAAATTTTGTTTTCCACCTATTTAAAAACTTAAGGTCAGCTGCTGGCTATTAACTTGGTTGTACAAGTCATTTCAACTTATATTACATTGAACAGACTTTTTTTTTTTTTAATTGAGTTGAATCTCATATAACTTACAAAAAAAGTTGAAATTGCTTAAATTATTTTGATGAGTTAATGTAAAAACATAAGTTACCATCATATCATTTTTTACTATTATTATTATTATTATTTTTTGTAAATGTTTCTTATATTTACTTTTTTAGTATCAGGAGCATACAATAATTATGACCACTTTATCATACTAGCCAAGAGGAACACTAAATAAATCCCATATTGATAACAAAAATTATAGCAAAAATAGTAGAATTTTAGTATTTGTTCATTTGAAACTTCATTTTCATCACAGGACAAAATCCTGTTGCATTACTTCTGTCATAACTTTTGTTCTTTTATAGTACATGGGCAGATGGCATGAGATCATGAAGATTCCATCCCCGTTCCAGTTGGGCGAGTGTTGCCAGGCCACTTACACTCTGAGTGACGGCATTGTCCTGGTTCGAAATGATGAGCTACTGTAAGTATTGATGAGAAAATAGTACAATATATAAAATATCATACATTTGTTAAAGGATTAGTTCACCTCAAAATGAAAATTTCCTGATAATTTACTCACCCAAATGCCATCCAAGATGTTCATGTCTTTCTTTCTTCAGTGGAAAAGAAATAAAGTTTTTTGAGGAAAACATTTCAGGATTTTTCTCCACACAATGGCCCTCATTTATCAAAAGTGCGTACACCAAATTTCCAGCGTACACCTGGCGTACACCCAAAACCACGGTGACTTTGAGATTTATCAATATGGACGTTGGCGTACGGCACGCTCAAATCCTACGCCAGCTCAGGAGGTGGTGTACGCACGTTTTGAGTTAGTGCGGAAATGCGCAGAAAAACAATTCCTAACACCACAAAACGCACTGACAAACTAAAAGATATGATATATTATGACCCACTGTAAAACAAAAAAACAACATCACATCACATCATCATCATCATCATCATCACTATTGTACACCCCAATAATACATGTAACGTGATTCGAAATTGAATGCTAATTCAAAAGGCGTGCTGTAAAATATTGCATTGTGATTGGTCATTTCGGCTCCACGTCAGAGAAGTTTCTCTTCTTTGCCGTCTTCCGTGTGTCCATGGCGTAAAATGAGGGCGTGGGGGAAGCGGAGACTTGAATATATAGGGGCGTGTTATTCTAATGACGATCGTTTTCAGCCGCGGCATTTATCAAGGGCAGGTATTGCGTACACCTGGATTTCAAAGGTACGCACAGCTTCATAAATCAGGCGGTGAGAGGAGTGTAAGCATAATCTTACGCCAACATATACGCCCGTTTCTACGCAAGAATGATAAATGAGTGCCAATGGACTTCAAGGGCAACCAACGTTATGAAGTCCAAATCAATGCAGTTTCAAAGGGCTATGACGTGCTTCAAACGACTCTGCACGTTCCCAGCTGAGGAATAGGGTCTTATCTAGCGAAACGATCGGTCATTTTCTAAAAAAAAAAATTTAACATTTAGCAGCTATATACTTTATAACCACAATTGTTCGTCTTGTGCTGGTCTGCGACGCGCCAGGGATTACGTCATCACGTTGGAAACGTCACGCGTCACGTCATCTATCCAAGTTCCAACCGGTTCCAACCCATAAAAAAAGATGGACGACGCCCCTTCGCTCTTGTCCATTGGAGAGAACCAGAACTGAAGCCGCCAGTGTCCCGACCCGATCATGGTCCCCATAGACATAATAAATACATAGACGCCCTATTCGGTTGTTAAGTCTGACGTCACGCGTGACGTTTAGCCTCTTCCGGGCCCAAGCGCTCCGCTCGTCCACTCCAGATCCTAGACTAAGGCCCTGTCCCATTTCTCCCCCCTTAAAACTTCCACTTGGTTTTGAGTGCCCTCGAAAGTAAAGTCCCCTCAACGAGGGAAGTGGAGTTGAAGATCTTTCCCAATGAAATGGGACACCACTATATGCAAATTAGCGCGGCAATCCTCAATACGTCACGCGCAGCGTCAAAGTGTCTACTACTTCTACTACTATTTTCATTCATAAAATTGCCGGTTCCAGTTGTTGTGTTGCCTGTTGTGTGGGCTGTTTTCGTTTATCTACATCTGATGAATCAACAGAGAAGACATGTGGAATATAGAAGACGCATTTCCGGTAATTTTGCCATATATTTGTTTGTATCTGATCGTTTAGAAGCGCACACAAAACCCAAAGTTTGCTTGTCTAACGTTAGTTGCAATCCGTTTCCGAACGCGCGCGCGCCGGCAACGTCTCTTGCGCGGATCATTGTGCTTTTAGTAGCTGTTTTTACCACCAACGTCCCGCAATTTAGAAACCGCAGACACTGCACTTTACAACAATCACCGATTGTGCTCAGTGCTGATTCTGACGTTAGGTTTGGGTTTAGAGAGAAATGACAGCGCGCTGTGAAGGGAAGATGATGCGCTAGACGAACGCAGCTAGTTTTGAATAATTTTACCTCACATATCTTTTTATAATCCTTGGAAGCCAAAATCGAAAATAAAATTAGATTAACTAACTTACCCAGATCAGATGTATATTTGATTTGCTTTTGAAGCACTCGGCAGATATCATATGAACATCGTCAGATAGCTTCGTGAAATATTTTCTAACATTAGTGTTGAAAACTCAACAGTCCATTGGATGTGCATCCAACTAACATATTCCAACATATTTCGACATTTTAACATGCGTATTTGCGAAAATATACTTCAAATAAAATTGTTCCTTTCCAGCGGTGTCCGCCATCTTAGTTGAAAAATTTGACCGGCTCGCTGAGTTCGCAAGGTATCCTGGGTAATTTCATCTTCCACTTCGTTTTAAGCCTGCATCGGACCGCACTATGTTTTGAGGGTTGATTTTAAGGGGAGAATAGCACTCCCCCTTGCTCTTTGGAGTATTGGGACACCCTACCCCAACACGAGAACGCGCAAAAACAAGGGTTAGGGTAGAAATCTAGGGTAAGGGGAGGTATTGGGACGCAGCCTAAATAAACCCTTTTCTTAAGGGCTTTTTTCGCTTCAGTGCCAGTGGGTGTTACTAGGGATTAAGGGATAGCACCCACTGGCGCCAAAGTTTCTTCATTCGTTTAAGATTTGTAACTTACCTTATCAACTGCAGCCATTTTCTCTTATCTTTCTCGTCACAGGGAAAGCGGTAGAATGACAGTTGAATGTCACTTGTTTTTTAACTCCGATCTATTTAAACAACACGGGAACACGTTAAAACTCGGGCGAAAGCGGTAGGTAGGTAGAGAGGACCCGGCCTTTGGACCCGGAAACAGTATTATCGGAGAGTGGTTACGTCACGACTTAACAACCGGATTGGCCGCTTTGGAACGTTGCTGCGATACGTCAACGGGTCCGCCATTTTGCGGAGGGCAAGACTGCGCTGTGAACAAATGTAAGTAAACGGGGGAGCTGCGTTTTTTCTGGATAAAAACAAACTGTTTTTACATTTATCAACCGATTTCAGTGGTTTGAATGTGGTGTACAAAAAGCTCCATCTCTAGTTATTTAAAATCTCGATAGTTAGACTTGTAAAATATTTTTTTTCAATAAAGAATGGTCAATTAAGCTCAGGCTTGTCATGTATCTGGCTTTTTATTCTTGGATAAGAATGGTGAAGACCCCCATACTGAGATATAATTTAAGTTTTCTTATTGTGGAAAAAGCATTTTCTGTGATTGACCAGATTTTAGCAATAACAAAGATAACTGATGGATCCTTTATAATAATACGTTATGGTACAACTACAGTGCAATGCAAATAGTAAATATAACATAAAGTGAAAAGTAATAGTAAATAGTTTAGTCAATAAAATAAACAAATAGTAGCCTATACAGCAAATAAAATAGTAATGATTAGTATAATTATATAATATCATAAGTACAATAATACAATCATAAAAATATTGATAATAGCAGAGTTTATTAATAATACTAAAATAATAGCAATAGAATAAGAAATATCAATTACAGAATATGCACAATAAAAAATAAGTTAAATAGTGACTTTAATATTTAACTCTTTTTGTTAAATTTCAGTTTTATTGATCAGTAATAGCCAGTATAACAGAAGTAGCTTCAGTCAAACATACAGCAGGATACAACGTTAAAATAGCCTAAATATAAAGTTATGAAACTTCACTTTGCCCTCAGCCAAAACGATCTACCAGGGAACCATTTATAGATTAATGAGACCAAAGATCGCCCGTTAGATATACACAAGATGAATTATATCTCATATTTAACCACTAGACTACAGACATCCGAGTCAGCGGCAAAACTTCAGAAGCACTGGCCGAGGTACGGCTGTTCCAGACGGGGTAGACGAGCGCTGAGCGCATCTTACAACTCCGAAAACGTCAGATAAAATTTTTAAATAGGCGCTATCTTTATAAACAAACCACATATTTGAGCTTTAAACAACTACATTGTCGACTGAAAAACTATTTAAACTACATTTCGTGACACAATAACAGTAGTATTTTTAAATGTATCCTCTGAACGTTACTATTACTAATTAAATCATGACCAAATACAACCAAAAACAAACGTTCAGTCTTGCTTGTGAAAGGTAATTCCTCGAAAGCTGTTTTCAATTGTGTGGCGATGTGTACAGCCCCCAACAGCGCACAAAACAGGCATTTTTCTCAATTCCCGGTATGAGAGGTATGGGAAAGTTGCCATCCCCAACATGGCGGCGCCGTTGACGTACGCTCCAGCGGCCAATAGGGCGTCTATGTATTTATTATGTCTATGATGGTCCCGATATGGCGCTGACATATTGGAACTTGAGTATGCGCAGTAGCGTTTTCGGGACCAGTCATGCGCAGTCGTGAGCAGGAAGTAAAGCCGCGAAATCAAGGCCCCGCCCTCACTCACGTTGAATCAATCGCAAGCACACGCCCTGCACTTTTCTTAAGTGGCCTTGTCTGCTCCGTTCCTCTCCAATGATGCCTGCTGATTGCAGTACCTCGTTAAAATAAGGTAAATACAACCACTGACCACATAGTCAACATTATGAAAAAAAGTCCGTTGGTGCTTCAGTGACTACTTCACACAGAGAACCTGTCAATCACAGCTGTCAATCATGATGTCACAGCACCGTTTTTATAGCATCAAATAACTAACTAAAAACTAACTTATTTTAAAAACAAACACTTTAAATTACATCAACGTGATAGAAACTACAGTAAATGACAGAAACTATCTTTAGAAAAAAGATATGTGAAGTGTAATTTAATTATTTAGTTGGTCTCACGTCCCGTTGAATAACATGGGGAGGCGGGGTTTATGACCTATACTAGGACCGGTCACCGGGGGGCGATCGAGACGTTTTGGCTTCACTTTTGAGGGCTTGTGCTGCACGCTTGTTCTGGCTTGTTCCTATGAAGGTAAATCAGTAGCTAAACTCGAGAGCACGTAGATGTGAATTTGAGAACTTGTACAATAAATATTCGTACTTGTATGTGAACATTTACACTCACAGCTCCGATGTGAAAACCTGTAAAATAAAACTCTGAACTTGAACGCTGAGATTTGCACTCGCAGACAATAGTCACAAACCTGTATTCTGAATCTGAAGCTGCAGACAAGTAGTCACAAATGTGTAAAATGCCATTCACAGAAATACAATGACAATCACAAACATGTAAAATATATTTGCACTTCTTCTAACATTCAAATTCGCAGTACAACCTCAAATTGGCACTTGCAACTTCTCAAATCTGTCACTGCAAGTTCAAATTTCGCGCCTTGACTTTTGCTACTCTTTTCGCGATATATGAGGTGCAAAACTGATTTGTGCACTTGTAACTCAGTGGCGGTGAGAGCGGAAGGGGGGCGGGAGCGGGGGTGTTGGAAGGAGCCGTTTTATTGGTTGGGGCCTAGCCAATGAAATGGGACTTCTATTGTACGCGATGATGTCACGAAACCCGCCTCCTCGTGGAGGTTCTGAAACGCTAACATGGCTTAATGCATTAGACTGATTTAAAAGACATAAATGATATTATCAAACTTAGTGATATTAACACCATACTAATAATGCATACTACAGAAAAGCAGATGAGCACAGAATATGACAAAAGAAAGCAAATTTGTGTTCAGTGCAAATAAACCAGCTGCCTGTGTTTTATTAATAATGTATAACGAATATATATATATATATATATATATATATATATATATATATATAAACTGTTGATCCATTAAGCCTCATTAAGCGTTTTCTTGGTTTTCTATGAGAGGAAAATGCTTAACGTACAATTAAACGAGTTGCGTTCATTTTCTGCTCAATTGCTTTTCTGTATGCTTTATTTATGGTGTTTCCTGAGTTTGGTCTTTTAATACCACTGTCTTAAGTTAACGTTTTGCGTTCATATTCTGTGCTCATCTGCTTTTCTGTAGTATGCATTATTGTGTTTACTAAGTTTGATAATATAATTTATGTCTTTTAAATTAGTCTAATGCAGGGTTTCTCAACCTTTTGCCTACTGTGACCCACTTTTCTTTTGTATGCCAGTCATATGACCCACTAAATAAATCAATAACTGAAATGCCTCTTTAGATCTAGGCTACACCGTAGGCCTATATGCTTATTATAATTAATGATAATCACGAAAACACACAAACATTTTCAATAATTAGGCAGACTATGAGGCAAACTGATTTTTTTACTCACGTTAATGTGATAGCCTACTTGAGACTGCCGCTCTGAAATGATTATATCCAGACGCGGTGGAATTTGGAAAAGTGTGACTCACTACGAGTCGCACACAAATAACTGTTATCAGCCTATTCCTGCTTTTTGTTTTCGTTGCAGTCACTGTTGAAAATCCCGACTCACAAAGATAGGTAGTGCTAAATTGGAAGAGAAACTTCGTTGCACAATCTGCGAGTTGTGGATATTCATTTCTGGTTTGAATCCAAGGAATGAAAATAGCCTACGATTCGTTGGAGGATCGGCTCTACGTTTACATGCACAACTTTTGTTTCAATCGGACTGAATTCAATCCGATTAATGAATCTGAATGTAGTGTTTACATGAACGCTAAACGTGATCGGGTTAATGTGCGCGTTTATATGTCACAAGATTCAAATCGAATTATATTTTTTTGACATGCGCACACTGCACGAATATACAGAGTTTTCCGCTGTTTGCGCATACTAACTATTCTCTTACATTGGTTCTTTATTTGTTTTAAACAGCAGACTTAATATTTATCCATTGCTGGTCATAATTTGGAGACAATGAGCATATGAACCGTTGTGCCGTGCTGCTTATTTATCACGCAGTAAAAATGCCCAGCGCCCAAAACCAGTCGTCTGTGAATGAGAGTCTGAAACAAGGACTGGTGGGACGTTGTCCTGCTCCACTTCACAGACGCTGAGTGAAAGGAGAATTTTAGCATGATGGTACGCTCATTTATACGACACTTTACTCAACAGGAAGAACAGCTCGTTCAGCGCGTCATACACCATTATGCTATGAGCAGTCCTCTCAGTTTCGGTTTTCAATCCGATCAAGTGTTTACATGTCCTCCCAGTTGGATTAGAAAAGGAATAAAACCACTTTCAATCGAATTGAAATTTTATTCGGATCGAGCTCAATCGGATCGATTAAGGTGTTTACATGAAGGCTTTTTATAGTCCGATTGAACCGTCAATGCGTTTACTAATGGATTATTTGGATTTGGTTGCATGTAAACGTAGCCTGTTGCAATGAGCCTTTTGTGAAGCCCACTTATTGGCTGTGCCGGTTAACACAGAGAAAGTCTTGCGACCCCCTATAGAACGAACAACGACCCACTGGTTGAGAAACACTGGTCTAATGCATTAAGCCATGTTAGCGTTTCAGAACATCCACGAGGAGGCGGGTTTCGTGACATCATCGCGTACAATAGAAGTCCCATTTAATTGGCTAGGCGCCAACCAATAAAACGGCTCCTTCCAACACCCCCGCTCCCGCCCCCCTTCCGCTCTCACCGCCACTGAGTTACAAGTGCACAAATCAGTTTTGCACCTCATATATCGCGAAAAGAGTAGCAAAAGTCAAGGCGCGAAATTTGAACTTGCAGTGACAGATTTGAGAAGTTGCAAGTGCCAATTTGAGGTTGTACTGCGAATTTGAATGTTAGAAGAAGTGCAAATATATTTTACATGTTTGTGATTGTCATTGTATTTCTGTGAATGGCATTTTACACATTTGTGACTACTTGTCTGCAGCTTCAGATTCAGAATACAGGTTTGTGACTATTGTCTGCGAGTGCAAATCTCAGCGTTCAAGTTCAGAGTTTTATTTTACAGGTTTTCACATCGGAGCTGTGAGTGTAAATGTTCACATACAAGTACGAATATTTATTGTACAAGTTCTCAAATTCACATCTACGTGCTCTCGAGTTTAGCTACTGATTTACCTTCATAGTTCCAACCAGAGCCATAGAGAGAAAGAGTTGCGACACGCTTTGATGTCGCCGCGACGGCTGTCACGTGGTTCATGTAAGCCCCAATAGTTCCAAAACACACGCGGGCTGTCATGTTCTTCTATGGACAGACAGCAGCGATTGCATTATTAAACGGTAAATATAAAATAAAACACACACCCAAGTACTTTTTCAGCTGTTATTGCATTTTGTTTATGTCAGTTTTGCATTTGGAGAGGCAGGGTGACAACTTAGATAAGTTTTAGGCTATATTTTTGGAGGGAAACGCTAGTGTTCATGTTCGCATGGGTAGTAATAGCACTGGCTTTAGCGGCTCTAACTTAACTTTTCCATGTCATTCATCTGATGATGGACGTCTCATGATATTTATTTTAGCACAACTGGGCTGTATTAGGCTATTGATTCCCGTGATCTTGCTTAATTCCGCTTCGTGATCACGCAAAGAGGTCTGCAGTCCGTTCAGAATTCCAACCAACATAAAATATAAATAATTACGCTGTGCATGTACAAATGAATGATTTAGGAGGGAAATAGACTGCTCCCATAACGTAGAAAGCAACGACTATATACAGCAATGTTCGGTAAATATTCAACCGAAAAATATTCTTCATAAAATTAAACCGGAGAGATAGTTAATGAGTGAATTAACTATGTTCCTAAATACATATAAGCACATATATGCATAACACTAACCCATTTAAATAAATGAATTGTGTGTGTATGTATATATAATATTATATATAGGCTATATATATATACATGCATATAAAATATTATATATTATATATACATCAGTTACCGTAAGTTAGCTAACGTGAAGTGTTGGTCACGTAAGCTAACTTATAGCTGCATTTAACCTATTATCTTCCAATAAACATTTACTAAAACTGGCTACATAAAATATAACTAAAGACTAGATTCATGAGAGGTCGGCTAATGTGTGTAGAAGTAAAAAAATACAGTAATTTCATTAATTTACCAGCGAGCGTACTTCGGAAGCACTGAAAATGACTTTGGAAATGATTTGGACTTCAAAACGTTGGTTGCAATTGAAGTCCATTGTGTGGAGAAAAATCCTGAAATGTTTTCCTCAAAAAACTTAATTTCTTTTCCACTGAAGAAAGAAAGACATGAACATATTGGATGGCATTGGGGTGAGTAAATTATCAAGAAATTTTCATTTTGAGGTGAAATAATCCTTTAATATTCAGAATATAACAAGTATATAAAATAACACATAAAATAAAATGGATTCTGATATTCAGAATATTCAAAAGAGTTTTGCACTTTTTTCTGAAATGGCTTAAATGAACCTAATATATTTTCTCTGAACATCCTCACAGTGCTAATGGCACTATCAGCTTCATTGAGGGAACTGCCAAGATTGTAGATGCATCAGAGCCTGCCAAACTTGAAGTCAGCTTCTTTGAAGGTAAGTCTAAACAAATCATTCTTTTCAGCTGGTTTATTTGATTTTATTTAGGAATCTTTGATTTGAGTTATCCATGATGTTCTATTTCAGATGCTCCTCCTGGCCCCTACTGGGTGCTGGCTACTGATTATGATGAATACACCCTGGTTTACTCGTGCTCTGATTTCTCCGGTCTCTTTCACATTGAGTATTCCTGGATCATGAGCAGGACACGCACACTTCCCAAGGAGACCGTCTCTGAGCTGTTAGACATCCTCAAATCCCAAGGCATCAATACTGATGTTTTTACTGAGACCGACCAGAGACCGGGACTGTGCAGTGGGATGCCTTAATACTTGAATAATGAGCTACTGAGATGTGTTGTGATCTAATTACTTTTCAGTTGACATTATAAAGTTAACCAATATTCAACTAGCTTTTGAAGAATTTTTGTATACTCTTGCAAGAAATGCATCCTTTCTAAAATTTTGCCAATAGTTAACTATTTTAATAATGACATGCAAATTACATTAATACATAATTTGAAAAAGAAGTGTTACCGATAAGATACAATGAAATGCTCTCAAAGGTAAACTTAACCTTCAACCAAAATTATACCTTTTTAACTTCTGTTAACATAATTGCAAATCAAACCATAAACTTTATGTTTGTAGTGTAATCCTTTCAATTTTACTCAGAGAGAAAGTTTCCAACATAGAAAGACACTGTGTAAATGGAACTTTTCTTGGAGTGGCCTGTGGGATCATCTGCTAAATTCCATGGTCTGCATTCCACGAATACTCTAAATTGAGCCCAATCACTGCTCTGATCAGATCATTTAGATTTCTTTGTGATATATGTTTGAGTTGTGCAGCTGTGAAATTGATAAGCTAGCGATGGATAGTACTTTGCAGTCCTTTGACATGGGCTGATGACGACTACTGGATGTTGTGGAACAAGTGGGATGAAGTGATAAACTGGGGCCAGAAAGAGAAGCCCATTCCATGACCGCCCAGTTCATACAGTGCTTTACAAGAAACATATTTTTATAAAGTCTATAATATTATTAAACTGTGGGACAGGCCCTTGAGAAAAGAGCCTCACTGCTTTATTTACAGATGTTTTTATCTATTGGTATCAAGATTTGACATCTTTTGTGACTGATCACACAAAGTTTACATGTTGCATTTGAAAAGTAGCTAAATACGTTGCTACCGTATATTGAGCCTAATTGATTTGTCCCGTAGCCTAGGCTACGTGACCTCCCTTTTCCCGTTTATTGACTGCTACGCTGATCTAACCACTGGGCACTGACTGATACAACAGCAGCAGTGCTGATCACGACACCTGCATCATCCAATCACGTGCATCAGACCATACGAATAACAAACTCTAAATTGAGAAGTAATCATTCTTTTGGGACAAACATTGTTTGATTTGTGAACAGAATCCTCTGCCGTCTTGTTGTTCCCGCTTCGAACGGGACTCGCGCTAACGGCAAACGGCAAATCCCTTTCACTGTCCGTGTTTTGATTTCGGCAAATCAGTTTGGGCGAATCCAAACAACGTGATTATTGTTCATGAGTCCAACATCCAGCCACGCAAGAAAACATGCAGTCTACCTGAGGAAATAATAAGCTGATGTGATTTGTTGCTCAAGAAACATTTCTGATTATTATCAATCTTTTTTTTCAGGATTATTTGATTAATAGAAAGTTCCAAAGAGATTTCTCTGAAATAGAAAGCTTTTGTAACATGATGTATTTACTGTCACTTTTGATTAATTTAATGCATCCTTGCTGAATCCAACGTCACGTTCTGGGCGGTAACGCGGATGCGCGGCCATTATGGAGGCACTCGGATGTAAACAACAGCATGGATTGCACTGTTTATGTACTACTGAACACATTGTTACACTAATAAACCACTGAAAAAACACGTGGTAGGTGCGAAATCATATAGAGAAGGACTTGGGAAGCAGGAGAGAGCGCAACATTTTGACAAACTAAAGTTAATATGTGGTAAAGATCCGAACGAGTTAACTTAGCTTCTCTAGCACGTAACATTACTGCAATTGACCGTTCGCAGTCCCCTCCCACAAAACGGCCATTGTCCAATCACACATCATAGCAACCGTTACTATGTGAGCAGGTCCGTCAAACATTGACTCCAAGCAAGATGGTGAAGCGGTGCGCCCACGGCGTTTGTAAATCGGACACTAGGTACCCCGATAGATTGTCTGGAGGAGTTGTGTTCTTTCCGTTTCCAAAGCCGAAAACACAACGTGATACACACTACAATGGATAAAACAGTGTGGACGGCCCCACTCCCAGTTAAATGTGTCGAACATTACATGGTTAACTCGCGTGCAGCGTGCGTGAGACTGACGGTAGAGATCCACTTTTGCGACACGACTGTCGCTGATGTCGCGACGCCTCCCCACATTTGTACTTTGATGGGCGTTCCTCAAGTTTACCGCTATGGGCGTGGTTTTGAGCCAGCGGCCAGTCTAGGACAATCGACCCTCGAGAGACCCCCCCCCGTCTTCACCCTCAGGGTGCGGATCCACTTGTCCGTGCGATAATTCTGTCGCGCCGCACTCCGCTTTAAGCCCCGTTCACACTACACGCGACCAAGCGACGCGATACCATTCATTTCAATGGGGAGCTGGCGATTTCCGGCGACACGCGCGATAGCGACCGTTGGCGACCGGATGGGGCGTGTCTGGCGACGCGACAAAGTTGAGATCTGTTTAACTTTATGCAAATTAGGAGCGACTTTCGGGAGCGACAACCAATAGGAGCGGAGCGCGTATGATCCTTCTCCACATCATTGGATGTCATTCATAAAGGCAACCAGTAGTGGGAACTCCCACTAGCGACCTCATCGCCAGCCACTGGCGACATGCAGCGACAAAGTTGCTTGTAGTGTGAACGGGGCTTTATTCCTATGGGTGACGTCACACGACTTTAACGTGCCCGCAAAGCATCCCGGGAAGGCGGCGCTTCATTTGGAAAAATGCTGGGCGTCAAAAGCTGGCCGATGCCCATCTTTATGCAAATGAATTCCGTTGAACGCGACGCGACTATCCAATAAAAGTAGAGCATATGGAGACGGAGGGAAGTCTCTCGCAGGTCCTCTGTTCTAGACTGGCCGCTGGCTCAAAACCACGCCCATAGCGGTAAACTTGAGGAACGCCCATCAATGTACAAATGTGGGGAGGCGTCGCGACAACACACGACTGTCGTGTCACAAAAGTGGATCTCTACCGTGAGACACTGAGATTAGTCAAAGAAACATGGAGAAACCAGATCAAGAGGATCCACAAAGGAATTTTCTAAAGGGTTGTTGTTAACATGATATTCTCAGGGGAAAATGAGCAGCAGTGAAGCACCCGTAGACTAACGTTAACGTTACAGTTTAGAGGAGTGCACGTTCGCCACGGGGAAAGCATGAAGCTTACTTGACAACATCAGTTCATATATCAATATCGTAACGAATAGAAATAACCTTAAATAATATAACGTTATGGTTATCTGCATCTTTCCGTCTCTTATGTAAGTTATAGTTACTTTTTAAACACGAAAGCGGTTGCCGTGGTAATGAACAACCTGCTTGTTAAAGCGAATAATCCTGTATCTGTGGCAAAATTAATAAATATGCAGCGCGAGTTATATATTTCTAACTCCAAACAATTAGCCACTGAACCAGCTTATAAAATCTTCTTTAAGGCTGTGCTGGTTGCATTTGAGGTAAGTTACAGGTCATGGGGTTTCTCAGATTTCGCTTGAGACCGGTATAGTCCATGAGCCAGGGCCCCAAATTTGGTCCATCGGTATCATCTGGGGGGACAAAGTCTCGTAGTGATTTTTGGCAAGGTATACACCCCTAGTACTAGAAAAATCACGATAGCAGTGCAGGGGTGGTAGCGGAATCACTTTTTTTCTGCTCATGAAGTTACTAACCCCCTAAAATAAATTCCGTTTTTGAAATCTGGTGTATATCTGGTTTAGGCTCATGCTAGGGATATTGTCAATATTCTATAATATCGTGCTTGGTATCGTTGGATAGGGGACCTTTTAGGCTTTCATTTAAGCCCAGTACTGAATCTGTCTGACAAACACAGAGGTCACATGACTTCTTTAAACCAGAAATAACACACATTTTTTCACAATTTCCGCCTAAACTGTATGCTTTCTTTTATCCCTGTGGCATGAAAGAACACCAGGGACACAAAACTCAACAACTTCAATACTCAAGGCACTCCGATGAGTCAGAAAATGTATAATATACCCATACTATTTATTTGTGAGAGCCTTAAATTAGAATTGTGCAGCCAGCACAATTCTTCAAAATAGAATAGAGCCAATAGAATGGACAATTAGAATACCCTATTAGTCCAGGACCAAATGGCTTATTTATTCATTTAAGATTGTAATAAAAAGTAATTGTTTCAATAGTGTTGTCAACATTTACACTTGTAAGTGGTTTAACAAAATGTTTCTATCATGTATTTTTATATTCACCCACTTTCAGTTAGAATGTCAGAAAGTAGCTCATGCACGGAATGTTGATGGATTTTGACAGTTTGACAAGGTTTTGTCGGGTTTGTGTGAAAAGATTGTTGGTTCAGTTGACTGGTTATAACAACACTACCAACTATGCCATCTTCAATCAACTTCCATTGAGTTCCAGGGGTATTAAATGTAAGTACAAAATACTTTTTCTCTTGTGCTTGTGAATTGGTGGGGAATAGTAGCTAATGTAAGCTTGGTGTTTTTAGCAGGCTAGCTAGCTTGCAGGTTAAACGGTGTAACAGTCAGGGATGTGATTGTGCGAGTGGAAAAAAAGCAGGACATTTTTTTAAGACCCAGCATAAAGCACTTTTTACTTTTTAAACACCTGAATCAGCCATTTACTGCATGAACTACCAGGAACTGTGATGAGTGACACACATGGAAATATATTTAACAGCTATAATTTATTTATAGTAATGCAAACCAGGACGTCTTAACTTATCTTTGGGGAAAATGTAAGGGTGATAACTGTTCTGTAGTTCTGTAAAGAAAACAACTGTGTTTCCAATACCGATCAATCTCATTCAGTAAATAAAATTCAACTCAAACTTCTACAATAGGAATAGGCAACATAAAATGTTTTTTTTTTGTGTTTTGGTAAACTGCACATCATATTCTGTCTACACAGATAAAACTACCTAAGAACCATTTATGAATTATATTAATGCTTTTTATAGACTACATAATCTTATCAGCATGATGAATAAATGATATTAACTGGAATAAACTGTACACAGAAAGGGAGCAGAGAATGTGACCAATCGAGCTTTGCGTGCTCTTTATACGCATAAATGACCTTT